GATTTCATGTTTGCAATGTTTGCTTAGGGCCAGATTGAATTAGCCCTGATTCAATTGTCTATAAATATGCAGTCAATGACCTGCATTGATTCATTCTTTTCATCAAGTTGATTTACCCACTTAATTCATTCAATTGAATTTCATTCATTCATTCAATCAATTTCACCTATCTACATGCATAGCGAATGGTAGGACCTCTGGTCTATCTATTTCAGATCTAGGTGGTCCAGGTGAACTGTTTACTTCATCTGACTGATCGATTTCCTTTATTCTATCAAGCCATTTGAAATTTCTATTCAACCCACGTGACCCACCTACCCCATCTGACAATATAATATTTATAAAAGCTTATACTATATATATAAGATAGGGAAAAAAATCTTTGCTATTATTATAAAATAAATTAATTAAATAATTTATAAAAAGTCCTCTAAAAAGCCCCTAGCATAAAAGGTATTTAATTAGAGCCCTAATATTTCTATAGAATTCTAAAACTTTAAAGATATATTCTTACTAAAAAAGGCAGATAAGCTACCCCTATATAAGGACTATAATTATATAATTACGCTAGAATCTAATAAAAGACTGCTATTTAGTCCCTTATATAATATATCCTAGGAAGAGCTAAAAGCCCTTTAAGAATAACTTCTTAAAAACCTGTAAAAAAACTTTATCTACCTAAATTTATTTTTTATAATATCCCCTGTCCTATTTATTAATAAATTTAATAAAGGCTTATATTTTTATATTAATTATTAAGCCCTAAACACAATTATTATTAAAGATTATTATTTATTATCTTTAATAAAAGAAACCTTAAATAATCTAAAAGAAATATACTACTTTATAAAGATAAATATTATAAGTATTTTTAATAACTTATATATCCAGAAAGATCAAGAATAAATAATTATATTTTATACCCGCCTAGGCCTGTTTAAATCCCTAATAATATTATTTAGCCTAACCAGAGCCCCTGGGACCTTTTAGTATTATATTAATAATATATTATATAATTATTTAAATATTTTTTATATTACTTATCTAAATAATATCCTAATCTATAGCCGAACCTGTTCTAAATATATCTACTATATCTACCAGATTCTACAAAAGTTACGAGAAACCCGCCTGTTTGTAAAACTCTTAAAATATAAGTTTATTATTCTTAAAACTAAGTTCCTAGGTCTAATTATTAGCTATAAAAGGATTTAAATAGACCTTTCTAAAATTAAGATAGTTATTAACTAGCCTATCTTAACCTATATTACTAATATTTAGGCTTTCTTGGGATTCAGTAATTTTTATTATTATTTTATTAAAGACTTTTTAAAGTTAACTACTCTACTTATTAATCTAATTTATAAAAAAATATCTTAGGAATAGACTTTATCTTATTAAAAGATTTTTAAGTATTTTAAATAAGCTTTTATAAATACTCTAATCTTATAGCCTTTTAACTAGATATATATTATAATTTTAAAAATTAATACTTTTAATTATATTTCTGCTGGAGTCCTATCTTAATATAATAATAATAAAGTTTTATACCCTATTATCTTTTTTTTAAAAAAATATTTACTTATAGAATATAATTATAAAATTTATAATAAAAAATTATTTATTATTATTTATTATTTTAAAAAATAGCATCTTAAGCTTAAAAGAGCTCTATCCCTAATCTAGATTATTTCTAATTACTATAACCTAGAGTATTTTATATTAACTAAGCTTTTAAACTAATAATAAGCTTATTAGTTTAAATTTTTGTTCTAATTTAAGTTTAAGATTATTTATTATCCCGGGAAATATAAAATTAAGCCAGATAGCCTAATTAAAAGATTAAAAGATTTCTTTAAAAATAAAGATAAATACTTTTAATACTAGAGCTAAATAATATTAAAATATAAAAATCTTAATATTAGTAAATCTGATTAAGCTAAAACCCCTAAACTCCCGACCTTGCTTGCCCCTGTAACCTATTAAAATATTATTTTTAAAAATAAATAAAACTTATAACTACTACCTAAAGCCCAGATAAACCTATAAGAAATATATAAGAAAAATAATCTAATTTATAAAGTCTAGAAGGCTCTTATTATAAAAAAAGATTATTATCTAAAGATTATTTTAGTTATTTATAAAAAATAAAATAATCTTTTATTTTATAAAGATTATTTATAGATTCCTGAAAATAATAAGCTCTAAATTAAATTAATTTATTTAATATATAATAAACCCGCGGCTAGATATCTTAAGAAAAATTATATATATAAATTTTTTACCCGCGAATACTTTTAGCCTAATATATACTACTATATAGCCTAATAAATCTAGAACTATTATACCTATTGCTAAATTATTTTATTCTAAAAAATTAAGTAAAATATCCTAAAACCCCTATTTATACCTAAATATATTTAATAAAATATTTTTATAGATTTTATTATATATCTACTAGAGAGCCAGAATTATAATATTATTTTAGTTATTATAGATTATCTAACTAAAATAAAGCACCTGATCCTTTATAACTTAATTATAAATATATCTGCTGTGGCTATAATATATATATAATATATATAAAAGTTATATAGCCTGCCCTGAACTATTATATCAGATTAAAAATCCTAGTTTATTACTAAATTCTAGAAATACCTAACCTAGTATCTAGATATTATTAATAAATTATTAATTATGTATTATCCTGAAACTAATAGCCAGACTAAATATATAAATATTATATTAGAATAGTATCTTTAAGCTTATATAAACTACTTATAAAATAATTAGAATATCTGGTTTCCTTTAGCTAAGTTCTCTTTAAATATTATATATTTTAATTTAATTAAGACCAGCCTATTCTTTACTAATTATAGCTTTTACCTATATATAGGATTTAAACCTGTCTTAATAAAAGATTATTATATTTATAACTGCCCTACTATATAAGATATAAAATAATTTATTATTAAAATATAAGCTATTATTAAATTTATCTAAGCTAAGATATTATCTGCCCATGCCTATTATATTAAATAAATAAATTATTAATACTGTCCCGCCCGCCTGTTTAAAAAAAACTAACTAATTTAGCTAATAATCTAATATATTAAGATCTTATAGCCTAGTAAAAAGCTAGACTAGAATATTTTAGATTTATATTATATTAAAAAAGTTATTAGCCTATATATTTATTATCTGGAACTCCTACTTAATATAAAAATTTATTTTATATTTAATATAAGCCTATTTATTCCTGCTAGCTTAAATATCTTATTTAGCTAGTAAAATCTTCTTTTATCTTATATTAAGATTAATAAACTTAAAAAATAAGAGATTAAAAATATTTTTAACTTATTCTAGAATTATTATAGCTGTGGCCGCTCTTACCTGATATATATTATAAAATAAATTAAATATATAGATTTTATTATTAAGCCTGCTAGTTATCTAAAATATACTAAATAGATTATCTAGAACTATTATTATTAATATTTTAATAAGTCTGGCCCTCTTTAGCCTTAATAAAATTTAGCTATAAAAAAAGAATATATTATTATAATACAGACTTAAAAGCACTACTAAACCTACTAGAACTAGATAAAACTACTAAGCTAGAAGAACCTATTTCTAACCCTAAACCCCTGACTACTTAAAAGCCTAAATACTAGAGATTTTATTATAGCTTTTTAAGCTATGTCTTATTTATTATCTTGTATATAGCTTAACTATAATAATAATCAAAGACCTTGTGAACCTAGCCCGCCTGATCTAGCTAGACCGCCTGCCCTGCCTGCCCCTGCTGTTCCAACTCTATTAACCCGCCAGCCCGCGCCTTGACAGTAACATTTTTTTTTATGAACAAGGCTTTATTAGATATCATATAATTCTTAGGTAGATAAGGTATAGGATTATTGGTAATAGTAAATTATAGTTAAAAATAAACAGGAAGAGAAGGAAAAGAAAATTATTTTATATAATTTTATAATATATTAGATTTTAAATATTCTCTTTCCCCTAGACCCAGTGAGGTGATATATTTATAAAAATATTAATTTAGTTAAATTAGAGTACTGACCGATTATATAAAATATATTATAGATATTCTGATTAACTAAATCTTAGGTATATATAAAAGACAATCATAAAACTTTATTATTTAGATATAGCTTTTGAAGCTGAGTGGACTTATATTATTAAGGTCTGCCTGGAGCTAACATAAGCATTATTCACTGTATTAAATATATTTGATATAGTCACGTGTTGGACAAATGGCCACGCACGCGAGCTGAGTATTCTGATTGGCAGATTATCTCCCTTTTCTTGACTTTTTATGTTTATATGCCTGATGTCACCGGCGCTTATCTCAGCGCGGAACACGGAACAACCGGACTGCCGGAGGTCCGCAGGGTTGCCGAGGCATTCGGGAACTGATTCCCGCGATGAGGTTATACACGGGAAACCCCTTATTTAAAGAAACTAACCATTTGACCCCTAGGAGGTCAAGTGATTAATTCTATTTATTCTATACCCGTCCCTTAACTTCTTGTATCTCTCAGCGTGTAGTAGGCGGTCCGCAGGCGTATCGCAGGCGCCCCGAACTCCTCGGTACATCCATCTAAGGGAACCAAGTGCCCGGAACAGAACCTTCGTGGCTGCCCCTTACACCTGACGTCATTGAGAATTGACTGACGTGGCAGCTCCTGATAGCAGGGAAAATAGTTTTCCCACCATTCTTTAACTCGCTTGTTCAGTGAGCACTCAGTGAGCGCTCCGGGGGCGCAGACATGTAATCCCAGCCTCCCACTTGTAGGATGCCTTGACTAATGCCCTGAAGTGCAGACGTGGCATAGAGGGGTAAGCTCTGGTACTCAGAGCGGGGTAAAATGTGGCTGTATAAAAGTTATCGCTGCTCAGAGAGCAAAATTAATGGACTGAGTTCTTGTACTCCTCTGGAACTCTTAGTATCAGATTACTTACTGTCATACAAATTTCTCTTCATGTATGTTACGCCTTTTCTTTGAGAAAATAAGTATTGTTTCTAACTCTGCGGATTTCATAGTATGTTTGAGGATTTTGATGACTATGATGATTTCCTTCCACACACCGACCTGCGAACTACCAACCTTCATCAAGCAGTCAATAATAATGACATTAATAAACTAGAGGAGACTTTGAGAAATGGAGCAGATGTCAACGTGCAGGATGGACAAGCTAGAACCCTACTGCAGGTTGCTGTGGGGGGACGCAATGAAGATGAAACCGTTATTTAACTACTCCTCCGATATGGAGCAGACGTCACGGGACATAAAGGCGTACACGGAAATGCTTTGACCCATGCTGCTCTTGGGAGTTTAAGGATCATGTAAATGCTTTTAGATCATGCTTCCGCGCAAGGGCATTTCAACCTCTCATCCGCGAATCGTGCACTGTATACAGCATCTGAATATGGACACGTGGAGATAATCCAGCTTCTTTTGGCTAGAGGGGTTAGCCCTAACGCAGCGGGCTCTATGTACGGGTGTGTACTCGAAGCAGTAGCGTACTATGGAAGTGAAGATGCTGTCCAGGCCCTGTTAGCTGCTGGTGCAGAAATTAATTTCTAAGGCGGCTATTATGGGAATGCGCTCCAGGCTGCAGTAAGATATGGAAGGGAGAATCTGGTGAATATCTTACTGCAAGCTGGTGCTAATGTGAATGCTCCTGGTGGCGTTTATGCTAATGTATTGATGTCAGCTATAAAACGAGATCATCCACAGGTTGTAGAAATACTTCTACAGGCAGGCGCAACTCCTGTTCAGGGTGATGAAATCGCACTAGCAGCTGGGCGTTATGATTGAAGAGGATCCTATGCTGATATCCTTGGGGAGTACGTGCATTTGGATCAAGCTTGACGTGGTAAGAGCGAATGGGGACGAATGGGGACGAATGGGGACGAATGGGGACGAATGGGGATGAATGGGGACGATTATGAATGGGGACGATTACGAATGGGTTAATCCGGGAAGATCAGGTCCGAGGAATAAACGATCAGCAATAAAACTGGGCCTAGCTATGATAAAGAAATCGCAGGTTTACGGTGGTAGAAATGTTGTAAGGCCTTTGACGCTTGTCTGATAGTTTAGAGACTTATTAGTAGCTTTAATTAGGATAGGGCCATAATCAGCCACTAGCTATTACTTCTTGTGTTTTAACAGGCTTTCCCTTAGTTGACAAAATAATTTTCTGTATTTATTAAGGCTGCTAATTATAAGTATAATATTTTGGTCCATTTTATCGTTCACTATGATATATAGAACTAGGGCGTGTTGGAGACTTTTGTATGTGGAAGTTGTTAGCTTAGTGCTTATATAAAATTCCGTCAAAGTTGGCGCTTCTACATTGATGCTTTTATATTGAAGTCCCGTCAATGTTGAAATTGCTATATTAAGAACTATCAACATTGGTATCTCTATATTAAAACCCTATAATGTTAATATTTCTACGTTAAAGTATTATTAATATCATAATTATTATAATAGTCCCGTTGGTTATTATGAGTTCACAAATTCTAAGGAAGCAGAAATCATCACTAATATAATATGTTATACTATTTATTATATTAATAGACTAGTTCTATTTTCCGCACTGCTATTAAGTAGATCATAATAATAGTATGCTTTATACATGGAAATTATAAGGTGGAATACCTTGGTGCCTTAGTGGTAAGGTAGCATGAAAGCAATTGGCTAGGGATCTTAAATATATAGTATATTCTGCTTAAGGTATTATTGCTAAGGTTTAGGGGAACCCTATAAGAACATATTTTTATTATATGTTTGCTAGGCTATAACTAAGTACCTGTTCTAACTAAATATCTTTAAAAGATTCCTATATAGATCCTTATAATTACCCCCTCTTTTTAAAGGCCTTAGTCCCTAAAATATCTTATAAGATTAATTAATTAATACTATTAAGCTTTGTGAGATTACTTTTCTTATAAAGGCTGTTATTTTATAAGATTACTATACTATATAAATTTTTTTTGTGAATATAATTATTAATTAATTCTTTTTATCCTATAGGGACCTTCTATTTAATAATCTTTAAATATTAGTATTTAATTTACCTTTTTTTATAATTTTATAAAAAATATTATTTTAATTAGAATGTTTTTTTCTAGATTTATAAATATTAACTACCTCGTGAACCCTTAATATAATATAATATAAATAGTCCCTATAAAAGTGTACTTTATTTAGGATATCTTATTTATAAAATCTATTATAATTAGTTTTATAATTTTTCGCGAATATATTTTATATATATTATAGATTTATTTTATGAGATTACTCCTCTGCTTAAAATATTTTATTTATAAAATTTATTATAGTTAATTTCTTAATCTTTTTATAAAGCTAGCCCTCTTATTATAAAAATTTAATTAATATAATTATTCTAATTTATTCACGAGCTTAGTATCTACTTAAAATATCTTATTTATAAAATCTATTATAATTAGCTTAATCTACTCTTAATAAATCTTGTAAAATACCTCTGTAAAATATTTATAAAAATTTTTTATTATTAAAAAACTTTTTTTAAAAAAAATAATTATAAAAAAAAATTATTTTAATTTCTTTTTTTATTATTTATATAGTATTAATAGCTCACGAACCCGTTAGATCTAGGTCTATTATTATAAAATCTATTATATTTTAATATAGCTATCTTTATTATTTAGTCCTATAAGACTTTAAATAATCTATCTAATTTAAGTATTATTATATTATATCTTTTATATTTATTACTAAATACCTAATTCTATATTATAAAAGGATCCTTTTTATAATTTCTTTTTTTTTTCTTTAATAATTACTATTCCTAGTAAATTAACCCCTAAGAGTTAAGTATACTTTACAAAATATAGTATATAAAATCTATTTTATTTTAATCTTATCTTACTTTTTACACTGCAGGAATTTATTTCCTATCTTACTTCTTATATTATAAGACTTTACTTCTATTTTATTGTCTATATCACAAGACTCTATTTCTATCTTATTTTCTGCATTATAAGACTCTGTTCCCATCTCACTTTCTATATCGTAAGACTTTGTTCCTATCTCACTTTCTGCATCACAAGACTCTATTCCCATCTTACTTTCTATATCGCGAGACTATTCTTATTTTATTTTTTATATCGCGAGACTCTTTATTTTAGGTTAGATTACTAATTCCTAGACTTATTTATAATCTTCCTGTATATAATAAATTATAGTACTATACTTACTATTAAAGTTTCTTAAAAATATTAATATTATTATTATATTTTTTCCTTTCTCTATTCTTTAAAAAATTTTTTTTTTAAAAGACTTTTTTCTTATAGATTATTATCCCTCTCCTGTTTTAAAAATAAGTCCAGAGAGCCCTAATTTTTATATTAATATTTATAATTTTTTATAAATAATATATATTAGCTAAATTAATTTTGAGTTTAATTATATAAGTAACTTATAAGGCCCCCTTAACCATATCCTTTATATTAATTAGTCCTTTTAATATAATAGTCTCTTCCTTTTATATATTATACTAGCTATAAATAAATATACCTTCTACTATAATCCTCTAATAACTACCCACCGCCTATTACCTTATTAAATTACTCTTAATCTGAATTAGCTGGTCTAATTAACTAATTTAATTAGACTATTTATAACCTAACTCTCTTGCTAATTCTATATAATTAGACCTATATTTCTCTAAGGCTTAGTTAATAAGGAGATTTAGAATAAAGTCCTAATATTATTAATAAACTACATTATATAAGATATAGCCTGTATAATTAAATTATTTATACAGGAATTATATCCTTTATAAATATTTATTTTTATTCTTAATCTTCCTCCCTAGTTAAGCCTGGAGAACCTAATTGCCTATAAATAAAAATAAGTTTAATAATTAATATTAAGGCTCTTTGTCAAGGTTGTAAGGATCCATATGGGACCCTCCCAAGGATGCTTAGTCAGAACGGGTGCTTAGTCATAGCCTAGTGAACACATGATGAAAACATGTTCTTACTGGGGTTCCCCTGAATCCTAGTGATAACACCTTAAGTAAAATATACTATATATTTAATATCCCTAGCCAATTACTTTCACACTATCTTACTTTTAAGATACTAAGGTATTTAATCTTATAACTTTATTATTTATACTTAATTAAAGCAGCCCATTAGCAAAATAACTAGTAAAAAGAGAGGAACTCGCGGACAGGGCATTTAATCACTTATTAAGCTAACTCGCGAAAAAAAGTTTTTATAAACTCAGGAAACCCCAGAACTAATAAAATCTTATAAGATTACTAAAAAGAAACCACTTAATAATAAATTAAAAATCTCGTGGGTAAAAAAACTGCTAACTCTGGATATAAAAGTTATTTATAAATAAATTATATTATTAAAGAAACTTCAGGAACTCTAGTATATTTTAGTATTATTTTTTAAAAAATATACTCGGGTAGAAAGTTCAGAAAAAATTATTTTTCTTATAAAAAAAAAGTCTGGCCTAAAAATTAAGTTTCCTAGTAAAAAGGAGTAATACTTAATACATAATTATACTATTTACTAAGTATTTATCACCGGACAAGAATTAATTATAAAGGTAAATAACTAAAATAATAAAAATAAAATAAAAGTAGCAGTCGCGTACCTAGACTATATACTAAGTAATTTTTAAAAAAATAATTTTTTAAATACTTACCACTCGCGAGAATAAAAGGGCTTTTATGAATTCTTAAAAAATTAATTAAGTAATCTAAAAAATTATAGATAAAATATCTAGTCTAAGATACTATATTTTAAGCCTCGCGAGAATAAGGGTGATTATACTTATTTTTAAAGATAGAAGGAGGCCAAGTCTGAGCTCGGGGATAAAGCAGGAAAAATAAACTGTTTATAGTTTTATTTATTTTATAAAATATTTAATTAAGATTTTAAATAAAAGATTTGTAAGTAACTTAAATTCCTAAAATTAAAATAAAAGTTAATCTTGCTAATTTTATATTTATACTTTTTTATAAAAGGCTATTAACCAGGATCTAGGAGGAACTAATAATTAAGCTTATAAAATCTAAATTTAGACTGAAACTATTCAGGATAGGGATCTTCGGGATTTACGAGAAATAACTAGATATAGAAAGACTCGCCTAGAATTTTATAAGGAAAGTTACTTAATAAAAAAATAGATCTTATAAAAAAGTAAAATAATTTATTATAAATTAAGTGCTTTAACTATGGCAAGCTAGGCTATAAAGTATTTAATTACTGGTTAAAAAAGTTAGTATGACTCTGAGGCCTCCTAATAAAAAATATTAGTTTATTACAGATAAGTAAGAGAGAGGGACCGGAGAAACTATTTTTTATAAAATTTTTATTAATAAAGCTGTGGGGATAGCTAGTATTCTAAGGTCTTGTGAAACAGAGTAAAATAATATTTAAATAAAAAAAAAAGGACTTATTAAAGATGTTAATTAATATTAGAGCAGAGGCGAATCTAGTATCTTTTAATTTTATAAAAAAAATAGGATAGAAAAAATTATTTATCTAGTTTAAAATAACTAGAGTAAACAGTCACAAAATCTTTTTATAAAGGATTATATAGTTCTATTTAAAGTTAGAAAACTTATAAGATTATTATAAGATCTAAATAAGACTTATAATAATATTTTCTAGTATGTCAGAGATAACCTTAGGAATATTATAGATAATTTAAAAAAAATTTATTATTTACTTTTATAAATATTATTTAAAATTTTT